CTGAATTATGATGTCACTGTGCCCTGGGTAATGTCTCTGATAGTTCTCCTTTACTCAAGGTCACAAAATGAAAGAAAAAAAATGCATTAAATTTTCCACCGTGCAATCAAAGGCGGTCTCAGCAGGGACACGGACCTCAGTGCCGGGCAGTCGGTGTGGTAGCCTTGGATCGAAAATTAAACGGTGCTCTTCTTAGGTGGAGGGAAACAACAGCCACATTGAAAAATGACAGGTAAAAATCGTTTTCCTCCCAGCTGCGCGGCTCCCACATATGGAGGTCGGCAGAGGTTCCCCGGCTACTGATGAGGAAACTTAATTACCAAAGATACTTCTCTGCCGGCGCCAGCTACTGAATGTTATTTGGGAGGCTGCGCTGGAATTGGGTCTAAAGCTACAAGCTAAATGTTGTTATTAAGGCCATCCGGGGCAGGTGTGGAAGGTTTGTGTAATTGTGGCGGGAGGCTGCAGACGCCTTCCCTCCATTCTCACACACCTCCCGTTTCAGCAAGTCTCCAGAACGCCAGGAGACCAAAGGAGAGAGAAATCTCTGCTTCGCATCGTTTGCTGGTTTGTTTATTCTGCCGAAAATGAAATTCCTCAGTCGCGCCTCTCGTTTTATTCACGCTCATTATGAGAAATTCATCAGTGACATACATTTACTGAAAGAATTAAGATTAAGACGCTGGATTTTTTTTCCCTCCTTAATACGACTACACAGGATGTAGATTTAATTTTCATTTTGACAAGATAAGAGGGACAGCGGGATAAGGGGTGAGCCATGCAAGGGCGGGCATGCGAGAAGTGTGTGGGAGGCACACATCCATGCGCGTTCCGGTCCATGCGACATTCGCATTTCTCCTGATCCTGTATCGGGAGAGATGGACGGGGCGACAACCCGCAGGTGACCCTCCTGCTCAGGTGACTTTCTGATGGGAACCTTAAGGATCAGGGTGACATTTAAAAATAATTATAGTAATAATAAAAGGAAGAAAAGTCACTGTTTGATCTCACCGTTTTATTAAGATTGCCATTAGACATGGGATCTCAGGGACTCTGTGAGCTCAGCCTGCTATTGTCACTCTCCTTAGAGCCCATTACTGATCTCATCTTTGTCGTAATGGTACCAGTGATCAAAGACACAGCCAAGAAAAACACTTTGGTTCCTCTGCCTTGAAAAGGACAACGAACGACTAGGAAATTTACACATAAGGCCAGCTAGTACAGGGTAGCATTGTGGATGCAGAAATAATACCTTGATACACACTGATGATAAACCTGTTACTTGGGATTACAGGGTGTGCTCTGGGGATTCATTACTGGAAAAAATGAAACAGGCATATACTAGGCCAGCTCAGTGGGCAGCACCGTGGTCACATGGGGGCCTTGAATCGTGGCCCTGGCTCTGTGTGTGTGCGGAGTTTGCATGTCCACCAGCTTCTCCAGTTTCCTACCACAGTCCAAAGACATGAGGTTAGGTGAACTGTTTTTTTTTCTAAATCATCTAGGGCACTTAGTCTGTGATGGATTAGCGGTCGATCTGGGGCGTCTCCTGCCTGATTCGTACACCACACATTTGGACAGAATAAGAGAAGCAGAACATACAAGGACAAACACTATCCCCATGTACTGTTGGAATAAAATACGAGGTTTAATTACTTTATTCTGACCCCTGCTGTTCCACCGTGGTACAGTGTCTATTATAACATCGGTGACTAAATATCAGGCCAGTCAATTTCCATATCCACTCATCTATTGCAGGGTCACTGTGGGCCTGGAGCCCATCCTGGGAAGCAGAGGGCATTAGCTTGGGGGGGGGGGGGGGCTGGTTGAGATGCCAGGGCACACACCTGACCACCCACAGAGGTCATTTTACAGACATCAATGACAATATATACATACACTGTAAAAGTTACTTAAAGAACTGGATTGAGTGACATACATGTGTCATTGTTTTTGTCTGTAATGGTCTGTTGATCTCCCCCTTTAACATGTGACTCCTGTGAAATATTAGGGGGGGGGGGGGGGGGCTTCCCTCTATCAGTCACTGGCTTCCTTTTCATTCCACGCAGGACATTGTTGCAGGTGGACACTGCTCGCTCCATCCTGCCCATAGTCTTACTTTACTGGCTGACAGCACATGTTGCTATGGAGCAATGAAGCCCAACCAGTAATCCCATGCGATGGGCCACCGGCTGATGTAAGTAATATATCACTTTATTAATTTGACCCCATACAATACAATCAAAGGAGACCATCATGACCAGTGTCACAACCCCCAACACTGTCACAACTCTGGAAGCTGTCACAACAATGAATACTGTCATGACTCTGGACACTGTCACAACCCCTGAGACACTGTCACCACTCTGGACACCATCACAACCCCAAGCTCCAGAGAAACAGCTGAACAGCAGCCAAAACAGAACCGTACGTTCCATCTGAATCATCCAGTGCCATGCAGAGAGCCATTATCCTCTACCAGATACCTGCTTCTCACTGAAGATCTCAAAGGAAGCTGCCCTGGGAGACGCATTGCATGCTGGGTAGAAACAAATCATCAAGTAGGCCCATGTGACTCCGACCCCCACATGGTGCGTCTCCTGATGCCCTTCCCCATGTGACATTGCTCCTGTATTTTCGGTTCATCACACCCACATCACACCCACCTAATTACAGGTTGTCCACAAGGAAAACATGTTATCTTTCACCATCACCTGTAAATATAAGGGAGTTACTGCAGCTGGGTAATGAATGAGTAACCTGGTTTACTGGGTATATATCAAGTCGTTGAGCTCCCAAACAATACACTGCAGCCTAAGGCCCCAGAAATGGTAAAAACAAAAACAAAAACAAAACACGAACAAAGACAAAACATGAACACACGCACTTACACATGAGTCAAAGCCATTTAATTCCCATTACTGTGAAATTCACTGATAAAAATAATGAATGCAAAAAAAAAAGAATAATGTACAAAAATGAAAATTTAATTTGTTGCTATCCACAAGTTTTTTCTCTAGTATAAAAATGCAATTTTCTTGTTTGAAATATCTTTAAATGCTTGAAAAGTTTAAGATTAAAAGGGTACATATTAGCCCTCTCTTTTACACCTCCAGAGTAAAACCATTTAATTCAACAATTTCATTCCTGGTGATAAAATAGTGTTGTTTGTTTACATATGAAGAGTGCGCATTAAATTAACACTGCAGATTGAACGAAAATAAATAAACACACTTGATAAGGAGCCGACAAAACGTAGCCCTGAGTCACTAGCGCACGTGAATACGGTGCTGAGTACGTTCGGTATGAATACTACCTACTTAGTGGTGGGCAACCGCAGACAGGACGTTAATGATACCAGATATAGTGATTAGTGAAAAGCAGCCTATTGATTGCAGGGATTCAAATCCAACGCAGGCACTGACCTAATTGTAATCGAGTACGATTGATGGATCGCCTGAAGATGCCACTTAGACGCATGCATTATGCTAAAGCACTCAAGGCATCCAATGAAGCCAGCTAATACTAAATATATGCAAAACAACATGGAAACTATGGCTTTTGGGGGTGAGGGACATAAATATATACATACATATAAATGTTATATTCTGATCAGCATAGTATTAAATACTTTTTAGGGCCTAAAAAGGTAGACCAGCTTGAGAAGCCACTTCGTCACTTCGCTATGTAGCCTAATGTATTTGTATATGACAGCGAATGCAATCAAAATGAACTTTCTTCTAAAAACACTCCATCGTAAAAGCATGCCCACATATATGAAAAAGACCACTAATTCTGTATCATTTTCAAAAAAATTCCTCGTTCCTTTTCTGGCCGCCGGTATCTGCAGAAGCTTTGCCTGTCACTTTATGTTAGTGCTTTAATTATTACACATCAGCGTATGATCGTGTTTAACAACGTGCATTTCCAACATCACGCAAGGATTTAAATGGGTGGAGCGAAAACTTGCCATCAATTGCGGACCCAAGTAGTTGCTCATCGCTTCTCATGGCTATGCGCCTAGAAAAAATACCCCACCGCTCCGCCAGTAAATCCACTGTACGCTGCCTTTCATTTCACGCCCATTTAATGGCACAGTGTTTTTACTGAAACCTATTGCTTGTATAGAAAGCTGTTACTATTAATACTTTAAACGGTACCTTTGGGGAACTACACTTCTAAGCGTTGATTTTATTCATATCGGCAAATGCATTATGGAAAAACGTCGCATCAGAATAATCGCTTTTCTTTCATCCAAGCATTAAATTACACAATTAATCCTGATACAAATATAAGAATGCAACCCATTTACTTAAAACACGCTGTAGTCAAACCTTAAATATCTGCGCCTCAATTCTCACAAAAATTATAGTCAGGACATAATTAAAGTGTGAAAAGCTCGAGTCAAATCACATTCCTTTGTTACACATCTTTTACCTTTCCAACAAGTAGGCTACAGTTTGCAAGTCAATAATAACACAATAGATTATACAAACTTCATTAATAACATTTTGTATTTGCACAACTCGGAGTGTATCTCTGCAAACCACACAAGCACTTCATTGTTGACACTGCAAAAAGTTATAAAAGCGACATGGTTACGGATGCAGGCTATAGATGCTAAGATAATTAATAGGCTAATTCGCATTTTGTCCACCCATCACGCACGATCATGCGTAGGCAACCAATGAATTACTGCAGTGTCAAACTCAAATGCGTTGAAAAAGTACATTTCTCAAAGAAAAAACTTTTTAAAATAGTTGAAAATCAATACTACTCAACAGACAACTATCAATATCGCCATGCTGTCTACAATGTTGGAAAAGGAGAATTTATGTTTTGTATACCCTGCATTTTAAACTTGCGTTGAACGACGCAATCATCGTTAACATCAAAATTGGATCTTACCTGTAATATCAAACCTGAGGTTACCTATAAAGAATCTGCAGTTTTTCAAAATTTACTGTATGAATTGCCAAAGTCGGTCTTAAACCGCTCACCTTTCTATCCTGCTCGTCTTCCGTCTCCAGATCAGATACTTTCCTCCTACTTAACAGTATCAAATACAGAAGTGCAGCAACCCAGAACAACGTAGCCAGCGCCAAAGTCAGCTTTCGAGAAACCCTCTTCATCTTTCAAAACGTATCAATCAGCGTCGCTCCAGCCCCGGCTACGAACGCGGCATTTCTAGAAAAAGTCGGCCGGCGAAAAGGCGAGTTTTAACCTCACTCGCTTCTTCATAAGTCCGGCAGGCGCGCCCAGCCTCCCCAAAGCCGCGTCCTGCCAGCTGCTCTTCGTACGCGCTTTCCAGGACCTGCCGATGCGCAGGAGGAGCGAGGTACCCCGCTAGATGCGGTCTCGTTTGCTTCAAGTCACACTTTAATATACCCTGATTATATGGATGACTTTCGCGCCACCTACCGTTCAGATCACGCAACCATCATTCGCGTGCTACCCAAAATGTCTTATACGTACCTTAAAACTTAAATGTGATGAGAGCTTTAATGGGCGACACTGTTTTTATACATTGTACTTTTTTGGATTTTCCCTTTACTGATTTTTTCTTTTCTATTGTTTGTTTACTCGTTATGATATTCTCTTCTGTTATTTTCTTTTCTTTTTTTGTGGGGACTGAAGTTGTTATAATGAATACGAATCTACATTATGATGCTGCTTGAATTCCAACGCCGTTATATATATATATATATAAAAAAAACATTTAATTGACTTCAGCTAGCCTAATTTATAACGTTCCCACATAAGGTCTAAAACATGCATTTTGCATAAGCAGTATGAATTATTTTACTGTTGCTGTGTATAGTGTTGTAGTTGTTTTGCGCTCCGTTTGATTCTTGTACAGAGTCAGCGTTAATTGAATAGGTTTCTCTTGCGAGACTGCAGTGCCTTGGGGAACAGTTCAGTTGTGCTTGCTTTAGCATTCTAAAGAAATATTACTGTGCTGGGCGTTGTTGGTGTTTATGCAGAGGCAGATGGACATATAGAAAGAATAGGTGAATAGCATGAACAGGTGGCAAAGAGACATTTTGGGATATTAATATGTGTTGCATGGATTAACATTGGCTGCGTTTCCTGACAGTTGATCCCTTTTGGGAAATTGAGCTAAATTGGGAAACTAAAATCAAATATATCAGCGTAACACTGCAGACTGACTTGTGGTCTTCCACACTGGTATGTCCTAATAAAATGGTCCTTAAATGTCACACGATTCTAAATATTGATGAGCCAGTTTCTGCCTTTTAAGTTCATGTACTGGACATCATATATTGGATAAGCTAAGTTTAGCTGGTTATAAGAGTTGTTCCACAATTTCATGCCAGATATGGAGTCTGTTTTTTAAAAAAACATTTAAAAATGATGATATAGAAAAACATTTAAATTGGTTAAACATTTATTTATAAGGAATAAATATTAAAACAACGAGTAATACTGTGGCCTCTCACCTCCAATGTTTAGGGTTCAGTTCCCACCCTGGAACTATCGTAATGTTTGAATGTTCTCCAACTGTTTGTGTGGGTATTCTGTCGTGGTTTTGTGAATTTCCACTTTGCTCTTAGTGAGGGTGGGTGTGTCCTTTGTCTTTTCAGGGCGTACCCTGCCCTTTGCATCCTGGGATCTCTGCATTGCATAAACAGTCATGGGCAAAAGACAATTTCACAGTTACCAAATGTTTCTCCAGGAAAAACAGAATCATGACATGATATCTGAGTCATGAGAAAAGCTGGAAAGCATCATTTTCAGCTCCATTATGATCTGACACATTCCTCTGCGGACCAGGGGCAAGTCTAGGATTTGACCCTAAGGGGGTCTCACCCCCTCAAGAAACATGGGACATCACCACCCCCCTGTCAATAAAATTTGCTGAGAGGAGGTGGTGCAGCCCCACAATAAAGTTTGTTGAGAAAATCTGGGTGGGTAAATGGTTTTAGAAAAATATTTTTCTGGGGAGCTGAGATAAATAGGGTCTAGAACCACAGATGCTGCAGATCTGCCGAGAAAAACCCTTTGCATACAGCCCAGCCTTGGAGTATAGAGGACCCTTAACAGCAGACAGTTTGATTTGCCGAGTTGGCCAATCTTACATTACTCCACCTGTTTTACCTTAAAGCCTAGGGGCTGTCATTTCCATTAGGTGGAGGTCCAACAGTGATTTATTTAGCTCACATCACATCACATCACATCACATCACAGAGTGCAGTGGCATCATTATGTGGCACTCAGTTGTTGTTGTTATTGTTCTGGCTTTTCTAATTCCCCATGGGTAAAACCTTCATTTAGAAAGCAGACTTATCTCTGAAAGGCTGGCATCAAATTCTTTTTTTTACAAAGCAAAAAAGAAAAGGAAATAGACTTTGGCTGGGTGTTACAGCAATATTAATTCAGCTTCAAAATGAAATAAAATGTTAAATAATTCAGTTTTTACCCTTTTAATAACCCTTGAATGAGAATAGGCTACATCAAAAAGTCAGTGATTGGAGACTACGTCTTATAGAATATTAATGCCTTCATGGAAGGAACGGAAAAGAAAATGCTTAGTTACTCAAAATTGAATTAAATATATAACATTTCGATTATGTGCAGCAAAGTGCCCATCCTTTGTAGAGAGAGGTGCCATTTATTGCTCAGAATTTTAATGAAAGAAAATCTGTAAAATATGGTGGACTTGTTTCAATCAGCCAACAAGTTCTTGGCAGAAACTAAAATACTATTTTGTAATTATCATAAAAACATGTTTGCAACTCATGATAGAAATACAGTCAATTAGAATTCAAATTTGATCAGTTGAATAAAAGATATTGAAATCACCCATCGTTAGTCACCACTTATTCAGTATGGGATCACAGTTGGTATGAAGCCAGGTCCTGGAGTTAGATGGCAGTGGGTACCCTGGATGGGATTCCAGTAACTGACAGGACGCACACACTCTGGTCAACTTAATGACACCAGTTCACCTGTGTGTTTGTTTTGGACTTTGGGGGACAACCGGAGCACCCAGGGGAAACATGGGGAGGATTCGTAAACTTCACACACAGAACCAGGGGTGGAAATCAACCTTGTAGATGTGGAACTCAACCTTGTAGATGTGGAACTCAACCTTGCAGATGTGACACTAGTGTTAATCCCTGTGCCAACCGTAATAAACTCAAATGAATGAATTCCAATGAAATTATATTAACTGCACCTCAATTGCAAATTTGGGGTTGTTTTGAATAAAAATTATAAAATGTTGGAGGAATGCCTGAGAAATTAAAGATAATTAAAAACAGGTAAACAATTTACATCTCATGGATACCTGTCTTTTCAATACAAACAATAATATAGTCACTTGTGTTTGTAATTTATTTACTTATTTAGCTAAGGTGTATCAGTGTGTAGGTCCACTGTAGCCCTTTAACGTCCTTGCAAGTGAGCTGAGGGAAGATTTATACCTTGTACACTAGCGACCTCTGGCGGTAACAAACACGTTAATCGACAGTGCTGATGTTTACGATCGAGTAAATGTCTTTCTGTTTATAAAATGTATTGCAATGACCGTGAATACTGAACACATATTTTTTATGAAGTTCAAAAATATTAGTATAAATTCATAATACCAGTACCCGAAAAAGTAAACGAGTTTAGGAAGATGTGTCAAAGAAGAAGAAATATCTTCCCTGTCGCAATACTATTGATTAATTTCATGCACGTTGTTTGTACCTTGGAGAACAAAACTACCCGAGTTGTACCATTTCTTTTTTCGATAGTGTAGGATATGCTTCCATGGGGACCACAATCTCTAATGGTGCCCCTGAGCAGTGTTATATTTCCGTATCAAGTACAATAACAGAGGTTTGTAGTCAGCGATACTGATTATACAGAGATGACTACACGCATACTTCCTTCTAAAAATGGAAATTAATCGATCAGGACTGGTCATAACATGACAGGCCAGCACATTACATTTATAAGCAGAATAAAATGAGCACAACTAATTCAAAGGTTAGGGGGTTAGAGGTAGCTATGCAGCCTAAAACCATTAATATACTTATTTTAAGTAATGATTCCTCCTTGAGCATCCTTGTTTATATCCAGTTATTTCGCTGATATATACATAGATCAAGGTAGGCGCAAATACACATAACACGCATATGGCCTGTTCGCATCTGATTACGTAGCAATTTTCAATGCCAAGCATGCGTCAGTTGCATATTTGCATTTCCGCAAGGGGCGCTACACCGAATCCTGGCTATCAGTCAAAATGGCATTGCCGTTAACAAGCTTCAGCCCATCCATCCGCTGGGTGGGACTTTGCCAGTAGTTGGGCATTTCCGGTCGTGTCGGGTTTCACGAAGCACGGACATTTAAATCTGCGGCACTGGGAGAGACTGGGAAACCTGCGTTCAGACGGCGTACCACGCAGCGGTTCAAACAGTAGTAGTAAAACCTTTTATTTTAGGGCAGATTTGTTGTTTTAATCAGTATTTTGTAGGTTCACTGAAGACCAGCAGCAATATTCTAATGTAAGAAGACGTTTCCATCGCTTGCTCTTTAGCTCCGTGCAGCTGTTGGATTATTCCTCTAGCTGAATTTTGAATGAACGTCCTGCATTAGCCGACTTGTTGTTTTCAATGTGCATGTAAATATCAAGCAAGCTTTGACGTCCGCGCAGAAGGCGTTTGCATGTATTTTTATTTCTTGCTTGGCCTTAAAGACCTGGAAAGAAACGCCTTCAACGAAGAGAATATTTTATGCAAGCTGTGTTATGATTGAAATGAAAAAAATACTTAGAAATTTCCATCCACTAAAGGAATTAAGGAAAATATAGTACAGTTGACAGTTTCTTTATACGAAGTTCATTTTTGTTTTTTTAGTTTTCTTGGGGGAAAACGGCAAATTAGGATTCTTTATAGAGAATTGCGTTGTGTATTGTAGAATTTGCATCATGTTCAGCTGGTTGGGTAATGATGACAGGAGGAAGAAGGATCCTGAGGTGTTTCAGACAGTCAGCGATGGACTCAAGAAGCTGTACAAAACCAAACTGTTACCTTTGGAGGAACACTACAAATTCCACGAGTTCCACTCACCCGCCCTAGAAGATGCAGACTTCGACAACAAGCCCATGGTACTGCTGGTGGGGCAGTACTCCACCGGGAAGACCAGCTTCATCCGGTACGTTCATCATCAAATGCAGGGGCTCTGTGATGGAGCATTTTAGAAGGGCAGGGCAGAAGGCAAACAGAAATCGTCCTTATTTAGCATCGTATGACATCATAGATGAAGCCAGCCCAACTGCTCCTTGAGTCCATTTGACAACTGAAATGTCGGCTGCATTTCT